TCTCCCCCCCGCCCCCAATCAAAGCTTGACATCATGGATCTCGCACCACTTCTTCTTACAAGTAGCATTTCCAAAGTAATAAGATCCGCCATGGCTCCAAATGTACTCAGCGACCTTCTTCCAGGACACCTTGGGTGGCTGATGCATGCTCATACTGATATGGACAATGGAGGTGTATGACTCAGGGGTTTGTGAGCAGATGAGGACAGCTTCGCAGAGGAGTTTAATCTGTGACAGGAGCATGATTAGTTTCAGGTCATTATATGCGAGAACGGGTCATTTCACATACATCTTTGTCTTGCCATTTTGGCTTCCTTACGCGCTGATCCTTGGCTTTTGTCAGAGTGCGGAATCGCCCTCGTAGTGTGGACTCGGCCTCTTTGAATCCGCCCATTCGCTTGATATCTTTATATGAGAGACCGCGTCGCTTGCAGTCAATCAGGAATGCATTGCGGGCATCGCTGTAGTGAAGACTTGCTTCGATGGCGGCTCGGTCCTCGTTGGTTGGTTGAGGAGAGGTTGACTCCTCTGTCGTGGAGTAAACATATGAAGGGCTGGGTTCGCTCGGTGGATGCTGGTTGAAAGAGCCAGCATGTGTGTCCGAGTAGACAGTCTTAGAGCTCGAAGTGTATCCATTGTTTGAGAAGACCTGCTGGTTCTGGTGGGCTTGGATTGTGGTTGGCTTGGGTGCCGAGGAAGAAACGAAAGACTCGTGGATTGACGAAGAAGGGGTTCCAGCCATGGGGATATGGCCAAAGGGTGGCATTGGTAAGCCATGGTTCAGGATACCGGAGTCTGTGTTCTGTTTCGTGTGGACGTATGGATGATTCACGGGCCAAGATCCGTCGTAAGGGCTGGCCGTGGACCAAGTCATATCATCAGCTGCATCGCTAGTGACGCGATGGTTATACCACATATCGGCTTCAGTGTTCATACTGCACGAGCTCCATGGAGCACCATTTTCAGAGCTGCGGAACTTGGTGAATGGGGAGGTGTGGGGATTTATGTGTGGTTTATGAGCAGGGAAGTTGAGAACAGCCTTGTCTGTATGGTAGCTAGTGATGTTTGGGACATAGACAGGCCGGTGATTGCTAGTATCACAGCTTGGTTGTTCATTTGGAACTTCGAACGAACAAAGTGATGATATTTCTTCGGTGACTGATAGGAAAGAAAGATTGTTGGCTGCCATGTTTGCGTTTTTCGGAGTTGGGTGAACTAGCCCAGCATGAGAGTCCACTCTGCGGGTACTGAATGTTTCATCGTAGTCCTCAAAAGCACCATGGTAGGGCTCGCAATAGGTACTGCCGTTGTTTGAAAGACTGTTCTTGAGATCGGGTCTTACCATGCCAGGAGAGACATTTTGCGCATATCCAGCTCCATATGGATTTCCTACCCGGAGTGCCATAGGATAGAGGTTATCTTGAGAAGATACGGCATGAGAAACCAAACTTTGTGTGCTAAACATGGTCCCGGGGATATCTTGAAGATCTCGTGCTTGGCTTGTAGAAGGGCGATGAAGAAAACGGAAGTCGGGATGCGGGCTTGGTTCTGAGGAGCAGGTGTTTGAATGCCAGTCACTTGAGAAACTGAGAGTATGCTCGTCCAAACTCTTCGGGCTGCCAGATAAAGAGGGAGATGAATCTGACATAAAACCGGGGAACACAGGGCAATATTCTGAAGAAGAGACCCATGGCTTCGGGACTCCGGGAAGAGCCAGCACATCAACCATTGCCATAGCCTTAAGCGGAGCAAAAGGACAAATGAACTGAACGAAAATGTGAATAAAATGACGGTTGTGGACGTGATCCTATCCGCACGCTTCACCGCAACTGCTAGCAAGTGTTGTACGCGGGTTGTCACTGGGTGTGGACTACCGCTGCGCAGCAAGAGGTCTTTGTAGCCAGTGTGCACTAGTTAGAATGTGGCGAATTCGAGGAGACCTGCAGGGCTGACCGTTGAGAGAGGTTAGAATTTTGATTTATATGGAGATGTTTCACCAAGCTAAATCATGGCAGGCGGATTGCCACTCACTTTGTGCAATTGGTAGGAACTCAGGATTAGAGAAATGGAAGAGAACAAAGCCTCGGCACGTAGGTAACAGGATATAAGAGATATAGATAGCTCCCAATTGTGACGTTGGTAGCAATACTAGTTGGAAATTGCGAGCTGGGTCTCTGATAACTTGGCCTTGGTAGGCACTGCGCCGTAAGTCGAGCGTTAAATGCAATGCGGTCTTAGATCTGTCTGCAATGCGGCTTTGGGGGTGAAAAGTGGCAAGTTCAAGATGGCTGGTTGTTGGGCCTCCAGTCTCCAGGATGGTACCGCGCGAGATTGTTTGAGAGACAATATTGATAGACGAGATCGAGAAGGGGATGAAATTAATCCAAAATTATATCAGTATAAAATTGGCACTGCGAGGTTCAGGAGTATCCTCCGCGGCTTTTAATAGAAAGATTAAATGACCAGGTGGTAGATACATGAACCTGTCTATATTCCCGCTAGCCCATTTCAACCACTCGGTCCGGTTAATCTCATTCGAGGCCCGTGCCATTACGCAACGGCCAGGGAATTCCTCGCCCTGGCATCTAAGGAGGTAGGGTTAACAAAGCAAGAAGGTAGACATGGGTTGGCACTCAAGGACCAGTAAGCCCTAGCCAGGTCACGAATTCCGCTGGATCCTAGTCGTACAGTGTCGATACATTTCCCGAGTGTTTTAGATCTTTTCTCTATTGTCTGGTATTTTGTCTTGCTTTAGCCTCGATCCCGGGGCCGGGGTTATGTTTAGGAGAAAATGAAACAAGTGCGTGAACGATGGACGGGTTCTGTTCTCGACGGCTCCGTGAGGAAGGTGTTCCCTTCCGGCCGTTAAGCCCAGATTGATATATCTCCGTCCCAATATCTTTCTCCGTAGCCTCTAGGGATCTGATAGTCAGGGTTTGCTCAATTAGCCTGGGGAGTGCATCCCCGTTGGCAAAAGCTCAAGGAGATGATCCCGCGCCAATCGACAGTCCCCACCGTGTACAAACCAGGCTAAGCTATGCATCCGTCTGCACGCACGTCTACCTGATCAGCAAACTGTCTAGAGCTGCATACCTTGGCAGTGGCTCGGGCCGTTTCGGAATGTTCCATCCTGAACGGGTACTGACATGGAGCTTCTTGGGGAGGCTTAGTGGCATGGACCAATCAAGCGGGGAGGGCTGATCCAACCTGATTGGGAAAAAGCAACGTGAACAAGGTTATGGTAGATCTACTAAGTTAATTGGTTTCTGACATACGTTACCTGCCGATTCCCTGATGTTCTAGCGTACAAAAACCGAAACACTGAAACTCTTAGTCCCAACGTAGGTGGTCATCGAAGGTTCTATGAGAATAAGCGCTAGAGATTGTCGATCTTGAGGTCCCCCACCTTAGAGTACGGCTTTTAGTGCAGGGAGCAGGGTTCACGAACAAGACAGGCGATCGGTAAAGAACACCCTCAATTGCCGAGTCAAATGGGAATCAACATAACGGGACCGTTAACAAATATCTCCGGCTTCCTTTCCCCGGATCTACAACACCCTAGAGCTGGACCCATTCAAAAGAAGCTTCTTTACTACAGCTGGGATGGTTTGGGTGGCGTTGAAACCAGAAAGAGAGAAAAGGAGCATGCAGTGAAGCGGCAAAAAGCTCCCATAGCGACCCCTGCCAGGGGAATTCTCAGTCCCGAACATGTTGGAAGTGCCTTGGAAACCAATTTCTTCTTTCAAGCAGTGCTTCTTGGTAGTATTTCTATTTTCATATTGGCCCGAATACTCTCAGTTTGGGGTTTCCTCTCTCAGGATGTTGTATTCGATCAACAGCCAGGTTTATTTCCCGGATATGCAGATCATATCTGCAGGGTGCAGTATTATCATCATAGAGGTAAATTAGCCGGTGATTCATCCAATTTCTTAAACAGTCATGAGCCTCAAACGGAATCCGAAACAAATCCGGGGAAGGTCGGGAAGTAAATGAGGGAATAAAATCTGTCAGCAAAAGCAAAAGGAGGTTGGTGACGTCCAGTTTGAAAGGCGCCCCTTTGGGCCCGTTGATTATGTTGGTTATCGATTGCCGACTTAGGGCTCAAAAAGTCCCGGGATCCCGGCGTTGTGCATAGCTGCTTTAGTGACGGCTTTAGTAAAGGGTCAACTATGGCTTCTTGCACTAGTCTTAAATGCCAAGCGAAATGGAAAAACAGTTTCTCTTCAACTTTCTAAAAAAATACTTGGTCAACAGTTCCTAAGTTGAAACAGCTCACCTGGGGAATTTTGTTTATTTTTCAACGCAGACTCGACTCCTTCCTACCAGAGGCACAATTGTATGTCTCAAACCAGATTCTTAGACTGTCTCATGAGACATAGAGGCGATATCAGAGGTGTGATCCAGCCTAGTGCATTCCAAGTCGTGGATTGCTGCAGGTCTAGCATCCCACAACAGTGTCGCTAGCAGGTATGCATCATCGCAGTTAATGCGCTAATGACTCCTAATTTTAAGGTCATAATTATTAGAATGTTGCTTATGTTTCTTTAAATTTTGAACAAATACCAGGTGTTTCTGGAAATATGAGGCATTTATGAGCGAGGAAATCTTGAGCGCTGGGGCTTAGAGGAGGCGATCAATACCCCTAGGGCTAAGTCACGCCAACATAGGATATACTAGACCTAGACTGGAGAATTAGTGAGACAAAGAATTAACATCGCCCCCAATTCCATGTGAAGGGGGCTTTTCCTGAAGAAACCAGCCCTAATTTCACAACCTTGAACCGCAATCGTCAGACTTCCCCAATATTCCGCTGGAATTTTGAGCTGTTAACTGACTCGCAACGTCTAAAAGTGGAATTAAACCATATTGGCTAGTTTCTGGGTCCATCGGGGGCAAATTATAGCACAATCGCTAGTAACACTGGGTTGGGGAGGCGATGGACAGCCCCGGGGCAGAGGGCAGACGTTTGAACTCCCAGTCGCTTTCCCGCTTCCGTCGGCCAGATGCATCTCTCCGCGAAGTCGGCCAGTCAAAAAGTCGGTCAATGGAGAGTTCTTCTAGCCAATGAAATCGGATAGCTGTCAATGATGGAGAAGACGTACTAATGACGAGGGTTGGAGAGGAAATGTGCATTATAGGAATATTCAGAATCGACAGCAGAAAAAGGTCAGAAGAAGTGATTGGTTCCGTTACAAGGTGGCAAATAAAATGCGCAATGATATTGATACGATGGGTTGAATTTGCAAGCAGAGTCCCCGCGCTCCCTAGTTCCCCGCGAGAGACCATCCTTTACGCTAGAAATTGCACTGGATTAAATCAGCCATTGGAAGGATGGTCGGGCACAACTCCACGGGTTACTAGTATAAAGACAAATGCACTAACGCCTATTTTCCCACCCGCCAGGTTGTGCTGTTTTGTTGGCAAAATGACCGAGGTCTCCATGATTAACGATGGTAAATTATAGTCAAAGAACTCCCATGCAGGTATCGAGGGGGTGTTCTACATCCTGACTCGGGGAGTTGGAAAAGAAATATCACAACATATCAAGTCGATCGTACCTTCAGTCAAATGATTGGCTTTCCGGTGGTAAAAAATAGGGTCGATGTTTCGGTCTCGTCGGTGTTTAATCCCCAGCATCTCATCTGGTGAGGACTTAAGTATGAATTACCGCTAATGGCATAACTTGGCCCTTTTATTGCTTTCAGCTCACCAGAGCATCATTTTTGATTGAATACATGATCAGAATATTCTGGAAAGAAAACCTATTTTGGGAGTCTTCCATTCGCGGAGGGCCGATGGCTTGCACGTCGCGTTAAACCTGGATCTTCTACTATAAGTCGGTGACTCATGATGAGCGAGATATACAAACTTACTCCACACTGTGTGGTTTTGTGTTAAATGAGCTGGTAGAATTTCCTTTGTCGCTTGCCAAGAAAGCTACATGTATTTAGTCCTGGGGTCCACCTTCATTGCTCTTAAGCTTCACGCACAAAGAGCAACTGGCTTGTAGTTATGGCGTTGTGTCTATCCCACCTATAGACAGAATAAGTAGTCTCCTCCACTTGCTTTAAAGTACATATGTTTTTTCCTCTCTGCTTCAAGCAGAGCTAGTTATCATAGTGAACGGTTCGCTATGCACCGCTCATAGTGCGCAGCGGTTCTATTGCACAGCAAACTTGCTCTCCCTTTAGGCCCAAACAAGGAAAATAAAGTAAACACAGAACTCTCTCTGTGAATACTTGGTCATGTGATTTCGAGGCTATTGGCCTCAATGTTGAATATGGTTTGTCAACACAGTATAAGTTTGCACGAAAGAAGACAAGGATAACAAAGGGTAGAAAGGACACAAAGAGCGAAAAGGATGGTTCGCTATCTGATCATTCTTTGAATAGTACGCAGAATGGTGACTTAGTTGGAACATTTTCCACTTTATCTGTGGATCCAATTCACATTGATATTTCTAGTACTAACAGTGCTTCTTCGAGTTCTTCCAACGGTTCTTCGCAAAACTCCGACGACGCACCATCCAGCATTGGACTTATCCTAGTAGAGGGACTAGAGGAGGAGCTAGAAGTTTTCTTTAACGAGGGAAATTCTGGTTCTTCTCACAGCTCTTCTCACAGTTCTCTCCAGACTGAAAAGGTTCTCCCCACGAGTCTTCTCAAGGTTCCGCCAGTGAATCTTCTGGTCCTGGACTTCTCACTGTAGAGGGGCTGGAAGCCTTTTCGAACGAGGCATCTAATGGTGCCAATGGTGCCAATGGTGTCTCTCGCACACCCTCCCTGAGCGAGGGGCCGGCTGTTGAGGAGTATCTATCTCCAACTATCACTTTACATGAGACTGGGGATGCATCCCCTCCAGGTACACCACGGCAGCCGTCATACTCACCGATCACCGAGCAGGGATCGGATAATAAGAGCGCTCAATCCAAGTCTGAAAACCTGTTCAGTTGAAGGAAAGAAAAGTAAAAAATTAGAAAATGAAATATCGTTTCTGCGAGTCTCCGGAGTTTGCTTAAATTTAAGTTCTCTTTGGCTTCTTTGCTCTTAGGTCTCCTTAGCTAGTTATTTAGAATGAAAACAGCTTGACTTTAGAATTTAATATTTCTCTCGTAGTTCTATACCATTTCTTGATAGCCGAGCTTGATAATGATATAATTTGTTAGGTTTCATGCATCAAATGCGACAAATAATGAAGTCAGCGATCTACCTAGACAGCACACATCGGAGGGGAAAGAATGAGAGCATTCCCAATTGCAGAAATTGTCCCTAGCTTCATGTATTGCGTTTGGAAGGTCCCCAGGAGGAAATGCTAAGGGGATTGGCAATATGTATAAACGACACACGAGCCAACAAAACCACATGGCATTCATATACGTAGTACGTGGAGCTGATATATATATTCGCACCAAATCAACCAATCATGTAGATGAACTAATTTGAAAGAAATACGAAGATGGGAGTAGATTGCATAACTATTCCATGGGGTATCAAAAGAAACGACGTTTAGTCCACGCGAGGAGTGCGAGAGTATTGAATGGGAAGCCCAGCAGGATATGTATCCCATAGATACAGAATCCAGGGTGCACCGAGAAAAATGAAAAATCAAGACTCCTCAAAGCTAGAATCAGAGGAATCTGACACCGGCACAGGCGCACCAATACTTTCCAATCCTCTGGACTTCTCGAGAGCCCCTTTTGAAGCATCATCCTCGGCAGTCGGGTCAACACCAGCTTCCTTCTTGAGCCGCTCATAGTTATCACCAGCCTCTTTGATCATAGCCTGGATCTCGAATTCACGATCCGCGATGTCGGCCTTCTCCTTCCGCAACTCTTCCATGCGGGCGATCATTTGCGTTTTCGCATTCTGCATGGATGCCAGAGACATGCGCAATCTTTCAAAACTGCTGGCCAGCCGAGGCAGTGAAGTCACTTTGGGAGGAGTCTTCGGTCGGTCGATACCATCAGACTTGCCATGTCCCATAGCAGCTTTGGTCTGTGCTGCTTCATACGCAGCCTTCTCTTCGACATCGGAATCATCCTCGTCAGAGATCCCCTCAGCATCATTGATGAGTTCTCGCATTGCTTCACGGTCTTTTTGTTTCTTTTCGCGTTCTGCTTTACGCCCAAGCGAGATCTTGCCGTCCTCCACATACTCCTCGAACCCTTCCGCAAAGTCCTCATCGTCTCGGATGAGTCTTGTGTCTGGGGCTGGTTTCTCTCCTCTCACCACTGCATCCCAGTCACTGACATGAGCCGCGTCATCGTCTTCTAATGAGATGAAGTCCTCCTCGGCACCGTGTTCCATGGCCAGACGCGCTCGTCGAGCTTTCTTTTCTCGGATCTCGGCTTCACTGGGTATGTGCGATTGACCCGAGACGGTCATAACCTCTCCGAATTTCGCTGCCACATCAACGGCCTTGCTCGGTTCGTCATCGGTGCTCGTCTTCGGTGTCGAGGGCGTCGAGTCCCGCAATTCCTTTAGGTAGTCGTTGCTGTATGTTGGTCGATCTTGGTCCTGGTTGATCCGAGCAGACATATTCTGTGAAGCAGTATGCTGGCCAGCACTTCGTTCCATAGCTTTGCGTCCCAGACCATGTCGTTTCGGAATGACTACCTCGCTTTCTTGGTCTTCGTCATCGTTCATCGAGGTTTCACTGGGATTAAATGACATGCGCAATTTAGATTTCGGTTTCGGTTTCGAGTTCGCCGGTCTCTTGACCACTGGCTCTGTAGAACAACGTTATTAGCATTGAACGCAAGACTAATCCCTAGGAATAGAAAAAAGTAGAAGCAGCCGACTCACCTGGCGCAGCACCATCGTCCTCCTCATCACTACCCCCGATCTTACGCGGCTTCCTGCGATTGGCAAACCTGGAACTCATAGCGAAAAGCACCAAAGAAGGTGAAGAAGAGAGAAACTTGGTGAATGCGGAGGCAATTTGGTAGCTCTTATCGCATATCAGGAACAACGATTCTCCGACCCAGCTTCCACCAAACTCCAACATCGCGATCTCTCGAATCCTGTCAAACCCCCAAATACCAAATCACATCGCCCAAGATGCCTCAAGCTCAGCCAGAATTGAAGAAGGTGAGTGCCCTTTTCAAGCTACGGTGTGCTTTTTGTCCCGGGACCCCTGCTGACAACGCGCTTTTCTGCAGTACATGGAGAAGCGGGTCTTCTGCCAACTTAACGGCAACCGCAAGGTCATTGGTATCCTCCGTGGCTACGATGTACGTCGAATATCCCCTGTTCACATACTTTCCTACTGCGGCGATGCTTCCAGTACCCCGAGTCACGAAACTCGCCCCTGGGATTTTGGAAGACCGCAGGTCAACAGCGGACAAATCAGCTAACGATACTTTCGCGCAGGTGTTCATGAACATTGTCCTGGACGAGGCATGGGAAGAGAAAGAAGGCGCAGAGAAGGTTGCCATTGGCATGGTTGTACGTCGACCCTATTCCTTATTGGGACCAGGAAATCCGACTAACAATGACACGCAGGTGATTCGCGGTAACTCAGTAGTGATGCTCGAGGCTCTCGAGCGCATTACCGATAAATAAGCGACATAACTACACGATGTACGACGTTTCTCTTTTGATGGAAGGGGCACGCACATAGGCACAACTCCACCAACCGAGTGCCGGGAAAAGATCATAATGCTATTGGGAGTTTCTGGGTCGGTTTCTCTGATGGGAACAATCAAAATCTCTTTTTTTTTTGTTCTATTTTTTTCTGCTCATTGGCCAGGGCGTACTTTTTAGACTACTTTGCAAAGGCTACCCCAATTACTTTTTCACTGGCTACTCGGATTACTGTACTGTTGGATGTGGACGCGGAGATAGGCAGAACTGATGTGATATTGGGTTTGAAAGCATTGCTGAATCGACTGCGCGCCTGGAGCCAATGCTGCTGTTCATCCTCCCGCTTGATTCATGGTAGAAAGAAATGAATAATAAGGAATATTGGTAGAATACATGGAACTTCGAAAATACAGGTTTGGTTTCTCATGTTGGTCTTGAACCGAACTTGAGTTTGAGCTTCAGCGGGCCGCCGCTGGCTGGGGTAGGGGTTGTAGATGCGGCCGGGGTTCTGGGGGTCGCACTGGGTGTTGCAGAGGGATTAGGGATATGGAGTTTTGGAAGAGGAGTGGCAGACGGGGTACTGGGAGTCGTGCCAGTCTTGGACGTCTTGAAGGTAATGCGAGTAGAAGGCGGAGGCATGCCCTCTTCCCGTTTCCGCTTGGAAGAGCCCTTTGATGGACCCATGCGGACAGTGCTGGATTTGGTAAAGTGCAATTTTCCATGACCCAGATTTTTGACATTCCAGTATCGAGGAAGTCTCATCCGCACAAGCTTGGACGTTATGGGGTCGTAAAGCACGCGGCAAAGATCGGTAAGCTCCGATAGTTCCAGAAGGTTCATGGTTGGGGAATTGCATGCGGCCCACATATACTCCTTCATGGATCCATCGAGAGAAAGCTCTCGCTTCAGAGCTTCAATAGCACCAGGAATAGTCTGTCGTCTCGCGATGTCGTCCCGGCGGACTTCCGTGGTGGACTCTTGTTCAATGATCAGACCGTCTGTCTGTGCGCCTTCTGGTTGTTGGGGACGACCGAAGGCAACTTGTGCCAAGGCCTGTCCTAGCAGACCCAGGCTCTGATGGCGAATCCAGGCCGAGGAATCCGTCGACAACGTATACATGAGCCACCGCAGAAGCTCAGGGCTTTGGCCAATGTCTAGGTCCACCAGACACTGGAACGCCTGAATCCGCAGGAGGTCGTACGTTCCTGCCCGTGTGTAGGGGAGGAAACGCATTAGATCCACGTTGATTATCTTCGCTTGCATCAGTTGCGCCTGGCAATGCAATGCAGCTCGGGAATATAGATTCTGGAATGAGCTGGACCATTCATCCATTCGCCGATAGCGATCGAATTCGGCGATAGCATCTTTCTCAAGCTGTTCCTCGGCCTGAGTCTCAAGAACGCGTTCCATATCGAAATGATCCAGTTCTTCATCATTCCGAGATTCGTTCCTGCCAAGCATTGCGTGACACAGAGACTTCATAAGTGACGCGACGTAGAAGTTGTCAGAGTACTCATTATTGGAGTTGTCGTTAAACTTCAGTTTGTCGAAGAGGAACCGTTTCACCCGCAGAGGAGTCTTTCCACTATTGTCGCGCACTTTGGAGATGGCATCGGGAATGACTTGTTGCAAGATGTAGGCTGCTCGGTCAGAGAAGTCGTTCGAACGCGTCATGGGCGAACCCGGAAGACAGAAAAGCTCCTGGAATGCCGTTTCAAGATGATACAAGCCTACCCAGTCAACCTCATCTTTCGCATGCTTCACCAACGCGCGAGCTGCCGTGACACGAATACCGTGGAAGTACCGACTGTCCATCAGAGTTCGAACGAAAATTGTGGAAATTAGAGGATGTTCTCGTTGGGCGGCCATATATTGCAAGGACTGCGATTATTAGCCTGACGTTTGGATGACCACATAAACATAATAATCTTACCTCAAGCTGTGCCACGACATCTCGATCCTGTTGTAGCTGTGACAGGTACATATAACCTGGCATACCGAGAGACAGTTTGCAGATCCACTCAAAGTCTGCATCCATACGAATCCACTCGTAAGATTCCTGTCCCATTCGCTCTTCGTCCTCTTTTGTCCAGTCAGCCAGACGCCAAGATTGTGCCTCTTCCTCTGTTTGGAGAACGTCTCCCAGACAGTAAAGGAGAACTTCTTCCTGAACCTCGGCATCTCCAGATGCCACAGCCCGCTCTCTCTGCTTCTTGTTGCGCTTAAGCCTTTTATACTTGGTATTGTACGGAATGTCGAACTTCGTCACTCCCTCCTTAATCTCAACGATATGTTCATATGGTGTGCCATCGGCTTCGTGAATTCGGAGTGTCATTGATCCCGTGAACACCGGTTGTACTGCACCGGCGTAGACATGCCGAACTTCTTCTTTGACGTCACGTAGGAATGTGTCCTTCTCAAGATCTCGTGGAGGCTGTTGCTCAGCCTGGATCTGTCGGATCATCATCTCCACAACTAGCTTTTTCTTGTTAAACCGCTGACTAGCCGTGAACCGCGGGCACCCTGCGCCGTATACCCATTGTTGGAAGAAAACATCCAACTTAGCGTGACCCAGTCGTTCACAAGTTTTCTGGAAGAGAGATGAGGTGACAGCTCCGTTGGGCATATCGCCCATGCGAGAGTTTAGGAACAGTCGAGTAACAATGCGAGACATCGTGGGCTTTCCACTAGCCTTGGTTAGTCGGCGATCGAGGATCCACAGAACCAAAGGTGCCTTCAGTGCAACGAAGCGGTATTCAGAGGGGTCAACCTTGAGGATGTTGCCCATATCGTAAATCGAAGGACGTTCGAAGTCCAATTCGCAGACTCGGTCAGACATTTGTTTGAGTCTGAATCGATATTCGTTATTGCCACAAAGGTGCTTCATAAATGTGTCTGTGATAAACCATGCCACACCCACTGTTACCCATGTATCCGCTGGCTCATTTGGAATGATATTGATGCCGGACCACTGGCAAGCCAGACCGTGCACCAGTGTTCGTGTCGATTCATACATGGGATCGATCATCTCTGCTGGGAAAAGGAGATGATTGCTGCAAATTGACATGCAGGCAGTGGGAAGACTGTCAGTGGGGACGTCATCCACGAAACAGATCTTGTAGCTGGCAAACGGGTAGGATCCATAAGACAACGAGAAGAAATCGATAGCCTGTGCCATGGGGAAGCTCGTATTCTGGACTTCATCTGCTCGACCTGGGAGACAAAATGCGTGTAAAGGAATTGCGTTTTGTCCAAGCTGTTCGTCCTGGTCACTCTCACGGAAGTCGGCAAGGTTGACATACTCGAATGGGCCAATAGCGAACCCGATTTGTTGAGCCCCTAAAGGCGAGTATGACGCAAATGAGACCGTTTTGCGACTGGGATCTTTAGGATCGACAATGTCATCAGTCAGGTCACCGGAGCAAACCACGGACATATCCAGGCCCTCGTCGTCGGCAGAAAGTTGGGCGTTCTGCGGCCGTGAGCGGGACTTGCGGTCAAACACACCACCGAGCGAGCTGGGGCAAGTTATCGAAAACTCCCATGTGCATCTCGAGGACGTATCATCGACGCATGGAAACAAGGGACATCCGATACCAGACTCGAGCGAGTTGGTTGTGTAGGCATGTGGATAACGGCGATCGCCATGCTCAACGCCCACGAATTGTAAACCATCGCGAATGCTATCAATGGCGAATTCAAGGTTCACCGTGAGAGCTGCGAATCGCGGGAGAGTCGCTTCTTGCGCCCTCGAACCTCCTGGCCCGTCCACATCACCGGCTATAGATTGAAGAGCGATCTGGTCTTGAGCTTCAGCTGAAGATGGGTCCAGCTCGTCGATTCGAACGTTTTTGGGAATCGTTATGGCGAGCGTGGGCTTCGGAGGAGTTTGAAGTAGACTGTCGAGCTTTGGGACTAAGCGTTCATGGTAATGGGGTCCGTAGAGTTGGATAGATTCGTAGGGATCAGAGTATTTCGCTGTGGCCTGTTTGCCGTTGACACTGAGTCGCTTGATCTCGCCTTGCCGAAAATTTAACCAGATGGTTCCTAGGTCTTGCCTGTGTGGGTGAATGGTGATTTCTGTATTGCCCTTCAGGCTTTTGCTGGCCAAATCGATATCGAGCTCGACCTTTTGATGCCCGACACTGAATCCTAGATCCCAAGCAGGTGCCGCAGCCCCGACGGGCGTATCGACAACACCAGGCATCGTGAAGATTCCTTAGCGACGAGACGCGCGGGGAGCGCAGCGCAGACCATCCACCGTCATCCCCAATCAGATTCAAAAGGCGGTTGTTGTCGAGGACGGCGCAGAGTGATCGAGCGGCCGAGTGGTGTGAAGATCGTTGCAAGGCGCGGGTTGAAGCTTCGAGCGACGGTGCAGACGCAGGATTGCGCGAAAGAGATGGGTTGACAGAGGGAAAACGCAGGCTAGTGACCAAATTCAAATGACGGTCAAGTAATGAATTCAAAGCGCAGCGACAATAGACAATGTAACCCAAACTCGCGTGGGCTCGCAGTCGAGCTTCCCAGGGATCGCGTCCCGATGCGGAGCGCACGTGATGTCGACCCTGAAAACCCATGTTGAGACATTCCGCTCCTCCTTTTCTCCACGTATATCGAGTGTTGTTCAGGGCATGTTTTGATTTGTTATTTGCCTGTCTTTCTTACTCATTTGTTTTACGACCGCGCGATGAACTGAGGTGTTGCTGTATCCCCCGACTATACATTGAAATCCGCATATCGCGCTCAATCTTCAACATGAGCGCAATCCTTCGGATGGTCCAAGGTATGTGACAGCAAACCGTTAGATTTGTCTCAGAACTATTTGCTGATTCCTGTCTTCAACTGAACAGAGACCCAAGATTCCCTCTCCGACGATGCCCTTCTACCCCTCAAGTCCTACAAGTACTCGAGTGTCGACAAATCGTTTATTTCGAACTACATTTTGAGACACTACGTACGGGATCTAGCTTGCACCTGTCCTGCTTGCGAACATACAGCTGACTTAATCTGCGCTTAGTGGAATGCCTTCGTCGAGCTTGTTCCCATGTGGATGGCCCCGAACATGGTAACCCTTCTTGGGTTCATGTGGATTGTCGCCAATGTCTTCATCATCGAGATCTTTGTGCCGGACATGGTGGGACCGGTAAGAGTCTTGTTCCTGGTTTGTTGGGAAGTGGAGAGTTGACATTGTTTGACCCAGGGCCCCGGGTGGATTTACTTCAGTTTCGCTCTTGGCATGTGGATGTAAGTGAACAGAATTGACTGTTCAGCATGAATTTCGCTGACACGAAGCAGGTACTCGACCCTCGACAATGTGGATGGTAAACAGGCGCGCCGAACAGGAACGTCCAGCGGCCTCGGGGAGCTTTTTGAGTTTGTACCACCCTCCGCCCAGCCATGGACACTTCACTAACAGAAACAAGTCACGGAATCGACTCTCTGAACTGCACCCTTGCCAGTCTGCTTTCGACTGCAGCAATGGGCTTCGGCTCTACGCAACTTGGTGCCTGGACGGCTATTGTGCCCTGTCTGGCCATGTACTTCTCCACTTGGGAGACCTTCCACACCCACACCCTGTACCTCGGCTACTTCAACGGCCCAACTGAGGGCCTTTTGATCGCCATTAGTATTATGGTCGCCTCGGGCATCTGGGGCCCCGGAATGTGGTCCCAGCCGATTACTGGATTCATTAACATTCCCCAAATCTTTGGTACCGCTTCCATCAAGGACCTCTGGGTTCCGATCCTGCTCGGTGGCTTCTTCCTCGGCCATCTGCCCGGATGTGTTATGAATGTGGCTGCTGCGCGCAAGAAGCAAGGCCTGGCTTTCACTCCTATTCTCAAGGAGTGGGTTCCTATGATCGCCTTCACCAGCTGCATCATTGCATGGCTCTTCTCTCCTTACTCGACCATTCTGTCCAACAACCACCTGGTCCTGTTCTGCTGGGTCATCGCTTTTGTGTTTGGACGTATGACCACCATGATCATCTTGGCCCACCTCTTGAGACAGCCTTTCCCGTACTGGACTGTCCTGCAGGCCCCACTTATCGGTGGTGCGGTGCTTGTCAACCTCCCCATCCTGGGCTTCCCAGTGATTGCTCCCTGGTTGGAGCTTCTTTACCTCCGTGTCTACCTTGTCTTCGCCTTTGTTATCTACATGCACTGGGCAGTCCTTGTTATTAACCGCATCACCACTTTCCTCGGCATCAACTGCCTTACCATCCGCAAGGACCGCGGTGCCGCCAGAGACCGGGCTTACCGCACCCTCGGTGATGCTCCCCTCGAGGAGCCTCGCGCCTCCACTGATACCAACAAGACTCATTAGATTATTTTCGTCGCGCCACATTCCATGCATAACGGATCGATTCATGAGGACAACCTCATTGGGTGGTCCTTCATATCAGCATTGCCACCAGAGGACCTGAGCGGTCCTTTGAAGATTTAAAAAGCCGCCATCTTGTAATTATGAACACAACCACCCTCAATATCTCGCCTTGACATGTTTCGATTAACAGAGAATGAATCAAGTGAGGGTTGGAATTTTTGATGAAACTACGCATGGAGACTTCCCCTGCATATTTGTACTTACGAGACTATTAATATTTTGTGAATAGACGAAAAGATTCAAGTTCATTAGTCTTCTTGAGAGAAGTTGAAACGAAACGCAAATTTTGAACAAAGCGTCATAGTACAGGAGAATAAACCATCACTCATATCGCAAAGGATCAATGCTGGCAAGAACAAAACACAATCATAACAAAAGTATCAGAGCTACCAAAATCCTCCAGACTTTTATTTGTTTCCAAGTCCAAGGGCACCAGTCAAACTGCCCAGTCCAAGACCATCAATAATCTTGTCAAGTCCCAGACTTCCAAGAATGCCATTCAACAACCCACCAAGACCAAGTCCATCAAGCAAACGACCAACAAGACTAAGCACACCGTTAAGCAACAAACCAACCGCAGCAATGATCTGGAACAGAGGCTCAGAGAGCAATCCCCAGAGCGGGTTCAGCTTCTTCTTAGCATGAGGCATATCAGCAATGCGCTTCTTGCCGTTGTCAATTGTCTTGACCACGGTCTCAGTGAGCTCCTTGATCATGTCGGCGAGCTGGTACTCCTCAGGCGTAGCATCGCGAGAAGCAGCGCGCGCCTTGGCGGTCGCGGCGATGTGTCCGTCGGGGTCAAGCGCGCGGATTGAGCCGTTGCATTCCTGGAGAATGCGGCCGCCTTCTTCGAGCAGGGGTTTGACTTGCTGGACGAGTTTCTCTTCGTCGAGCTCGTCCTTCGGGGTTCGGTCGGCTTTTTCGACGGCCTAGGACTTGTTAGTATTGTGTTAAAATTGGTTATATGTTGGCACAGAACTTACCTCATTGATCTGCTTGCACACTGGCTTGACGCTCTCGAGGGTCTGGCGGAGGATGTGACACATCTTCTCGGCGAGCTGGCGGTCCTGCTCGGCCTTGGTCTGAGCCTCCTGCTCCTCGGGGGTAGGACCCTCCTCTTCCTCAGGCTCAGGCTCGGGGATGTTCTCGAGCAGAGTGCACTCGCCGAGCTTGTTGCCGTCGTTGTCAACGACGAATCCGTTGTCGTCGACAGTCTTGCCAACAAGAGTGGCCAGGTTACCGGCAGTCAGCTTGCCGATGAGGTTACCGTCAGCATCGCGGACCTCGCCCTCCTTGGTGATCTTGCGACCAGCCATGGGGTCGACGTCGCGCTGCTTCTCCTCGGGTTCCCAGCGCTCGGCCTTACCGATAGTGTTACCGTTCTTGTCGGCAACGTCACCGTCCTCGTCGACGCTGCGGCCAAGCAGGCGCTTAGCGTCTCCTTCGATCAGACGTCCGATGATCTTGTCCCCGCTGGTCACGACACCGTCCTTGCCAACGACAGCGTTGTCAAAGCCAAAGAATGGACCCTCGGCCTTGTTCTGCTCACCACCGGGGATCAGCTCGGCGCGACCAACGACCTTGCCGCTGTCACCCCAGATCTGTCCCTTGCCGTCGACCTTACAGCCAGCCAGACGCTTGTCACCTTCGACGACACGGCCGAAAACAGCTCCAGTGGCAGGGTCAACAACGTTGCCAGACTTGTTGACAACCTTGCCCTCAAGGATAGAAAGGTCTTCCTCCTCGGGGGCCTCCTCTTCAGGGGGCTCGTATGGCTCGGCGCGACCCTTGACATTGCCGTACTTGTCAGTGATCTCGCCATCCTCGTCGACAGCGCGACCACGCAGCTTTTTGGGGTCACCCTCAACAAGCTGACCAACAATGGATCCCTCGTCATCCTCGACGAATCCATCCTTGGTCACGACGAGACTCTCCATGCCGGCGAAGGGACCCTCAGACTTGCTGTCAATCTCATTCTCAGGAATGAGCTCGACACGGCCGACGACCTTCTTGCCGTCATAGATCTCGCCGTCTTCGATCTTCTTACCAGCAAGCTCCTTGGGATTACCCTCAACAACACGGCCAATGGGATGTCCCTCAGGGCCAATGACATAGCCAGCCTTGTTGCAGGAGAGTCCGTTAAGGGCCGAGAAGTCAGGACCAGTCTCTTCAGGCGCCTCGGGCTCCTCCTCCAGACGCTCAGCACGACCGATAACGTTGCCCTTGCGGTCGAGGATTTCACCATCCTCATCGACACCGCGGCCGCTGAGCTTCTTTGCATCGCCTTCAATCAAGCGTCCGACGCGAGTCGAGTTCTCGTCCTCGATGAACCCGTCTTCGTTGACGACCAGGCCTTCCAGACCGGAGAAGGGCCCTTCCTCGCCCTCATCATCTTCAATGGGGAGGGCCTTGGCCTGGCCTATGACGTTGCCGCGGTTGTCCCAGAACTGACCTTTGTCGTCGAGGGTGGCGCCGAGCTTGGCGATCTTCTTGGGGTCGCCTTCGGTCAACTCGCCGACGGGCTTGCCGGTGGTTTGGTCAATGATGTAGCCGCGCTTGTTACAGCTGAGGCCCTCGAGGGTGTCGAGGCTGGGGACGCGTTGCTGGACATCCTCGGCAGCGTCCTTGGCGTCCTCAACGGTGTCTCCCTGGGTGTCTTCAGCGGTGTCCTTGGCGTCCTCAACGGTGTCTTCGAGGTCACCCTGGGCGTCTTCAGTGGTGTCCTTGGCGCCTTCGGTGGTCTCTTCGACGTCACCCTCGACACTTTCGGCGGCATCTTCAGCGGTGTCCTTGACGCCGTCGTCGACGTTGTCTTCGAGTTGGACCTTGCCGTCTTCGGCAGTGTCCTTGGCGTCTTCAGCAGTGTCTTCCAGATCACCCTGGGCATCCTCGGCAGTGTCTTTAGCATCATCGACAACACCGTCTGCGGTATTCTTAGACTCATCGAGGTCGGGAAGATCATGGTCGTCATCATTGTCAGAGACAGCGCCCTTGGCTTGATCGGTGGGCAGACCATCTTGAGCATCTTCGAACTGATCCTCAACATCATCCTTAGCACCATCAACCTTATCAGTGGCATCGTTCGCAGTCTCTTCAATAACCTTCTTCTGCTCCTCAACCGGAACAAGATCAACACGACCAATAGCATCACCTTCATCATCAACAATCTCACCCTCCTCGTTAAGCGTGTAACCAATAAGATCTTCCCAGTCACCCTCAACGATGCGACCAACAGTCTGACCAGCCGCATTCTTGATAACACCGCCATCAGAGACAGGCAGCCCCTCCAGCTGAGCAAGATCCGTAACAACATTCTCCAGATCGCCCACCTTGGACTGCGCCTCGTCGGGGATGTTCTTCGCCTGTTCGGCGAGGTCGTGCAGGATATCAACACGGCCAATCAGATCACCATCCTCGTCGACAATCTCGCCATCGTCACCAACAGTCTGTCCGACCAGGTCTTCAGGGTCCCCTTCGACAACCTGGCCAATAGGGTTCCCATCCTGTCCGAGGATTTTTCCACCGTCGGCAACCTCAAGACCCTTCAAGGCAGACAGGTCAAAAGGTACAGGCAGGTTATCGGTAGCAGCCTTGGCGCCATTCTGGACAGTCTCGGTGCCCTGCGCAGCTGTATCCTTGGCCTTGCCAGCAGTATCCTTAGCCTTACCAGTCAAACCAGAAGCAGCACGACCGAGAGGGGCCGCAGAGCCGGAAGCGTGTGAGGCGACATCGTCTGGCGGGGAGGCAGGGCGGCGCTGCTCAGCGGAGGTCTTCTTCTTGGACTTTGGGGACGGGGTCTCGGGGATGGATTGCTCATCGTCGTCCTCGATTGGCTCGGGGGCTTTCTGCGACAGTTTGCGAGGGGTGGCTTTCTTCGAGGACTTAGGGTTGGGGCTTGCTTGGGTGTTGCTTGGCTTTGAGGCAACGCTGGAACCGGAGCCTTTGCGGGTTTTGGCTGGGGTGTCGGTCTTTGAGCCCAGCTTTGGGGGTGCTTTGCTCACGGCGGGAGAAGACATGGTTGTTGGTTTGATGTGTGTTTGTGGTTGGATGTCGTGCTGGTTCGATCTCGTTATGATGGATTGGGATCAAATGAAATCAAATCAAAACCCAACAGAATGATATCCAGTCGTTTACGTGATAGGCGTGACGTATAGTTCGTAAAGAGGTAGGAGATAATAATACACAATCCCAGGAACAGGTAGAAGTTCAAGTCCGGGATGAATAGGAGTATAGATGGGGAATTATTTCTAGATAAAATAGAAAAAGGTACAAGAGGTTCGAGGGTTTAGATGTTATATGAAGTAGTCAAGGAGTCTGATATCATCGCTGTGTGCACTCCATCCTAGCAGTCTATATAGGCACTAGATCAAGCAGGCACGATACCTGCAGAGCCTACTACGTCATGGGGCCAGTTGATATCATAGCAGCTTGCCTTTGCTTTTAATCCCTGTTCGAGAGGAGATCGTCCCAAGAGTTAATCTATACGGGTGCACGGTGCATGCAGGTGGCTGAATTGTATGGTAGGGCGGTTAGCAGCATCATCCGCATCATACGAGTGGGTCAATAAGATGAGGAATGAGTTGAGAATGCTGTGTTGATCCAGAGGATTGCAGGACCAGCGCTCCAATCAGGGTTCTTGGCTGGGGTGTATGGCGGTGGAAGGTTGCTAAATCGGGATGTAGGAGGAGGTGGAGGCGGAGCTCTGTGCTTGTGTGGAGTACATGATCATGTTCTCAGTTGTGCTACTCGGAAGTGATGGGATATCGTGCAAAGCAAGCGGTTTTGGAATGTAGATATTGGGAATGTTGCACGGATAATGGCATCTAGCGCGGAGGATGTAGATGCTTCGACTTTTGACTCCGGAATATATCCTATGTCATGTTCCTGAGTATCCCAAAGAGGCATACGCGTCAAATTCAAGAATAAAGATGATAATTGGAGACAGAGAAAGCATTGTGAATGGTCAACTGTCAAAATATCATGATCCATGGAAACCCCAGGGCCACGCTATACGAAACATGTAAAAACGTTGGTGAGCAAATCACAAAAGTATATGGCCACATCATTGGGACCAGAGCATCCACTGTGATTTGCCTCCCGGACTGTCAGGCTGTCACCCCTGTCACTGTCCCTGTTCTGTGGCTGAAGTTGTTCGGTTCTATACTTGTCTATTGAGCTGACCTCCGAATCATCATTACATCACAGTTGAAAAGACTGCATAGATATTGTTGAACAGTGAAACTACACAACTCCATAGTATCTCTAAATGAACATGGTTCCTATACCCCACAGACGCAATAAGGATCGCATCTAGGTCATTAGTTAACACAGATGACGTCCAAACACCACGTTACCACGTTATCCGTACGACAAATCGCATCGGCAGAAAGCAAATATAAGGGACTTCCCTGTCACATAGGCGGCGCGAGCGCACATCGGGTCTCGGGCGGATGAGATCATTTTAATTTATCCAAGTGGAGTGTTCAGCCACTCAAGTCATCTCGGGCATCGTCACGCCTCAGAATTCAAGGCACAGTCTCGACCAAACTGTACGTGTTTCAGCATTTTGTCCAGTCCAAGGAATATGGTCCAGATGGTCCAGATGTCATATCATAGCGTAGCACAACGGTACACCGTTAGGACGTGGAGCTGGAAAATCTCCGGTTGTCTGCCGAAATCAAGATTTGCCCCTAGCGCGTGGGGTCCGTGCGTAGACGTTGTCCCGGGAGAAGTATATGTCGCGACTATTTATATGAATATAACTTGATCTTCTTGAACTGTTCTATATATACGTATTATCCATTCCATGCTTTCGATTTCTTTCCTGCCTAAGTAGGTACGCACAAATCCACTGTTATTAATACCACCCAGCCAAACTCTAGAGCCATAAGAGGAGACGCAATAATGTTACGAGGTGTACTAGATCGAAAAAGCTATCTAGACTGCTCCAATTACAATCGCAATCGGTGGTCTATTTCTTACAAAATGACATACTTTAGCCACTCTTCGCCACCGTGATAGTGCTTGCCCGAGTAGGATAAGATCAACACATTTGATCTTCATATTTAGCAGTCAATTAAATTAATGCTGCCTTATAACGATCAGCAATGTAACGTGCCCCGGACATTTACTTGCTGCCACATTGCTGTGCAGGTTACCACGTGGAAAAATGTGGCTGGTGGGTTAACCACGATGTCTGATATTTCCTAAGATACGATAGTATAAATTACACCCACGTCGTTTAAATAGGCATCCTACTTTTGTCGAAGAAAGATCTGCAACAAGTTCCAATAGATACGAGACTGAAATAACAAGTTTCAAGATAGGTCTCTAGAAGCAATTTGTGAGTGTGTGCTCTGTCTGAGGGAATTCAACGGGATTCCGTACGATGGTGTAATTATACGTAGCAAGGTACTGTACTTATACGTATATCTTAGCCCGTCTCTCAACCTAGCAAAGCTCTTTTAGTGATTGATAGAAAATAGTTACGATGCGTGTACCGCTTAAGCCGATTTCAAGAACTATTGATAGGCGAGGCGCATGGCCCGGAGAGAAAAGAAGGATGAATGAATTCTGTACGGACGAACCACGACTAATTACGAACCCGAGTGCGGCGTGAGCCCCAAGACAACCATACCCAAACAATTACCATTTAAGCTACCTCAACAAATACCCAGCAACTTGCTTCTGACACAAGAAAAGGCTAGATGGACGACTCTAGACGTTACGCGAAGAAGGCATCGGTGCCACAAACAGGACTAAACTAGACCACTCCTTGTGGCTTGCGGTTGATCCCCTCCCTGGGGCCATATTTCCAAAGAAGAATATCCCTGTAGAGAACACAGTTGCCTGAGTCGGGGATCCTGTCAGAGCCCATAACCTTTTCCTCACTCAAGTGACATTGCACCCACTCCCAGTCCCCGCGCTTGGGGTGATCAGGGTCCCTGAACTTAATCTGGAGGGCCTTGGACCTCCAAAATAGCTCTCCTCCCCCATGCAGGTGCACACGCGTAACGCCCATGGAAGCTGCTGGCTTGGGGTCAAACCCCTCTATAGTTACTGAGACTTTATGGAGGTATGCGAAATCTCTGTCTGAGATGGTCATCAGGTGGGCGCCTGAGTCTTTCACGTAGCTGAATGGGTGGCTTTGGACTGTGTCATTTAATCGAATGTCGACAGGGGACTGGAAAATGGGGAAATATGTTAGATACAAGCAAGTCGGGATCAGCGCGGAATGAGATGACTTGCGTTCTTTCCTGCAACGGGTGATGAAGGAGTAAGTAGGCCATTCTGATCACCTTCTTGTCCATTAGACGTTCCAGTGCTTGGCTTGATCTCCTTGAGAAGGATCTGTCCAACTTTAGGACCCTATACATCTACCATTAGTATCTGGTTCATTGTCATAGAATTATTGGCATTTTCTTACCCCTTCAACCCAAAATCCAATATGTCCCTTGTGCTTCGCACTGATGGCCAGAAATTCTTCCCATTTGAACGGCCGTGGCTGGCAAAGTTGCTTTCCCTTTGACCAGTAGGTCACAAGGCCTGCATTCCAGTCTAAATCCCCAACTGCGTAGGCCTGAATTATGGCGTCAACGTTGGGGATTTGATTATCGTCGTCATTTCCTTTCTCCAGCCAGCTTCTGATATTTTCCAGATCTTCCAGACGTTGGGCTACGTTCCAGCTGAGGTCTTCTGCCTCGTCATTCATCATAGTACTGCATAAATATCAGCTAGTGTACATTTAAAATAGCTTCATCCGATATAGAAACGTACTCGCGTTCATCCTTTCTATTCAGACATTCTTTGAGGCGAGCCTCGAAGATGGACGGCATGATCTTGGCTTTGATCCTTTCGCGGCATCTCTCAATTTGTGCGTCAATATCACTAGAGAAAGTCAGATATCATGGGCCGATAAAATACAAGTCTCATCATTCCCTGTTTGCTTACTCAGGGTCGAGGTCTGAGTCGTGAGAACTCCATCCCCGTGGAACCTTTTTCATATCGGCGATAGGCTTCTCTCCATCATGCTTCCATGTTTGCTTCTTAGGCCGTGGAAGCACCTCGGGAGTATATATTCCCATGTACGAATTATCAAGGTCTTTAGGAATCTTTCCTTTCTTTGGGGCAGGCTTTGCAGCCTTTGCCTTTCGTTTCGCGGGTGTCTTTTTAGCCTTGATACGAGCGGCGCTTGTCTTCGGCTTCAGGGGCTCGTAGTCCTCATTGTAGAAGCCTGCAGGCTTATTTCTTCCTCGGAGTGAATAGCGCATTTCGAAATAATCAGGAGAGGATGGGATGCGCTAGCAGGAGAATTCAAGGTTGGATATATATTTGCAGACCAGTGTTCGTTTTGCGAGGGACTCTTTGCCAACAAAGGAAATCGAAGAGCTTTAGAATGGAATGAGACATGGATGCGAGGACAAAGAAGACTCGACTCTCTTTAAATGTTACTTGAGGGTTGCTATTTTTGACACAAAGAACACGACAGAACAAAGCCGACATATGGAGGTGATCGTGCACTGGATTATCCCACCCCGTTCTTCCATGTGTAGGGGAAAAAAAGGATATTTCTCCTTATGTTGTCTGATAAAATGTTGTCTCCTTACTTTTTCGTATAAACATACAAAGCTGAGAACGAGCAGCTATTTTAATTAATATCTGTCCGTCGCGAACCTTGTCAATATCGGTGGCTTTAAGTCGATATCTTATCGATCTGTCTTCTCCTTACAGGAAACAAGTAAAAGCGACCGTTTCCTAGGGTAAGGAGTTAATACGTGAAGTGGTAAATCAAACTCTAATATATTCAATGTATCTGCTACCTCCACCGAATAACATTGTCAGAAATGGCAAAAGGTGATACTCAATGTGTAATCTGAAAAGCGTCGAGTTGATTACATTACTCTCGCCTACAGATTGGCCCTAGTTAGATTTCTGTATTTACTACGAGAGAGACAACAGGAGGCCAAAAAGGAACATAATCATGATTGCTATTCAGACTAGAACCGCCATAAAAAGGAATGTGACTCATGAACATCATACAAAGTCCAACACAAAATCATTCAAAGACGAGAAAGATGAGAGAATTCGCCGGGGGCATGGTAGGTTGGTACCCTCATGTCCAAATCAGCACCCGAGTATCCCAAGTCCTCGGCCACGAGCATGGCACACTTCTCGCCGATAAGTAGCGCAGTCTATATATTTCATCACACTTAGTATTACTATGATACTAAAAAAGGAGCAAAGACTTACGCTGAAAGTGTTGCAGCCCACATTATCGGGGCAGATCGACAAGTCGCAGACCTTGAGGCCTTTGACACCGTGAACATTCAGGCGTTCGTCGACAACACCGCCTTGCGGCGCAATGGAGTTGCCCTCTCTAGGGGCCATACTGCATGTTCCGAGGCAGTGCCAGGTTGTCTCAACGTGACGTTGAACTGCGGAAGGATGGTCAGAAACAACAAAATCTAGAAAGGTGTTGATAATGACGTACTCCACTTCTCAATGTGTTTGATATCCTCCTCGCTATAGTTCAGAGAGTCGCGAGCCTCATGTCTATTGGTGTTAAGGGTGGAGGCAGAAGGCTGCTTTCCAGGCTCCAAGGGCTGCGTCCAAGAGCCTACATAGCCGTATTAGTGAGAGAAACACAGACGAAACGGAATCAAAAAAGACTTGCCGTGCTGAATACCGGCCGAGATATGATTCTTGCCAGCATATGCCTTTGTAACAGCCAGATCCATGTCCAACGCCCGGGCGGATGAGCTGTGAGCGAACTGGGGGTGCATGGCTGTCACCTCGCCAGCATATGCACTCATGCGTCTGGCAGTCTCGCGGGACTTAATATATCCCCAGACCATGGGAGCCATATCCCGCTTGTCATTCATGAACCCTGCGTCGAAGTCCGGCACCTCATATGGATCTGCGGACTGGATGTGGGTGAAGCCGCGAGAGAATGGGTATTCCTGGTATTGGCCATTAGCCTAATTTATCTGTCAAGTGCAAAGACATCACCATACCAAGAAGTGGAACATGGTAAAGAACTTCCCCGGTGGCATGTGCATATGGTCTCCGAACCAGCTACGTCGAGTATCAGTAATGTCTTTCAAAAGTCGGATAGCTACTTACCCTGAGATTATAGAATAGTGCATAACAGGCTTATCAGGCTTGTTTTTGAAATAAGAGTCATACCCTCCAACGAACTCAGGTGTCGGCCACTTCTTCATCTCATTCAGTTCCTGCTGAGTGGGACGGATCTTAACGCCGGCGTCGATACCGTTAGTCGCCAGTGGGCCAGTACCCTTCTTATCCCACTCCTCGAAAACTTTCTTCTGCACCTCCGGGTCTCCGCGAATGAAGTCATCAAATGACTCGACATCTGGCTTTGCGCGATAGACAGAGAATGTCAGGTAGTGGTCCTGGAAATTGCGACCGACCCCAGGCAAGTTCACTAGAGGAGTGACGCCTGCGCGGCGAAGCTTGTCTGGATCGCCGAATCCGGATCTCTGGAGAATTAAAGGCGAGCTGAGTGTACCAGCGCTGATGATAATTTGCTTTCGCGCCCGGAAGATCCTGCTGACTGGCTCTCCTCCGTTGAGGGGCTTGGTGGGAATTGTGACGACGCCAACAGCGCGGCCGTTTTCGATGATCACCTTGTCCACTTTGGTGTTGCACTTTAGGTGCAGGTTGGAATGCTTAGCTCGAGTACTGTGGACGTAGGCATGGGCAGCATCGCTTCGTCGTCCTGTTAAACAGATTAGAGACAAGTCAAGCCGAGTAATGAGAGATATTAGTGGTATGCATACCTGTGTCACGATTGATCCACTTCAGCCAGTGCTCGGCGCCGTGTCTATTATCAGAATTCATGTTAATGAGAAGCTAGAAATGCTCATTTGCTCGAGTACATACGCAGTCTTTAGGTCCTGAAGATCATCGGTGACTGGAATGCCTTGGGATTCAGCCGCACGAAGGAAGTCATCTTTGATCGGGTAGGTATAATTTCCAAACGAGACCTTGATAGGGCCATCGGACCCGTGCAGCTCGGGATTATTACAAGCTCTCTGATATGTCTCATGTTTTCTCATCAGAGGCAGAAGTTCCTTGGTGGTCCACCCCTTGGCTTGGAAGTCATCGTAGTCGGAGGCCGATGCTCTGGTATACATCTGCGTGGATATTAGTGATAACCCTTCAACAAATGTCTTTCGGGAAAGGAAGAGCATGCCATGAAGTTGATCGAGCTACCACCTCCAAGGATGTTGGCACATGGAACAATAGCTTTACGTCCATCGAGATGCTCAGATGGCCTTGAATGGTAGAAAGACGCTGTCTTTGAATCGAGTTTCATGTTGTTTGGGTAGATACCGGGACGGTATACCCTGATAGTTGTTAGTCTCATTGCACGAAACAAACTTGTTTCTCTCTCACCATTGATTATTCAAATTATCTTCACCTGCCTCGATCAACAACACAGAGAGGTTGTGATCCAGGTTGGCGAGGCGGCCGGCAGGGACACATCCCGAACTGCCGCCGCCGCAGATAATGATGTCGACTTCGTCTGGGATCGTCATGTATAAGATGAATCAAAGAAATAAGTCAAAGTAAACTGCAATAGATCCAGATGGCCGGTGAAGAGAGAACAGCAAAGATCTGAACTGAAGTTCCTGGAGGCTCCTTATATACCCAGCTCCCACTTGGTGTTACCCAAATTGGAAGGAGATACCACCCGAAAAGCAGAATATTTTCAATATCCTAAGCGGACCCCGCGTGCGGAGACAGAGTTCATGAATTGAGTGTGGCTTAGTTCCATGCTGGCTCTTGCAAGAGAGCACGTATTGTGCTCATTTATACTGCCAATTGTATTTGCCCTATCGTGCCCCAAATCCGTTTGCGCTGAGCTGCTAACAAAAGACTTTTAATAGCTCGTGGTCCAGTCTAAACTGGTATGCCGTCCTTGTGAAGTCTCGGGCCATTGATCCCATAGTCTACTGTTGTGCACAAGTACCACTACCAAATGACACAGGCGGGGAGCTGCTAACCCCGGCAATCTTTGAGGAGAATCCCCGCACTTTATGCACCTGTGTTTATATGTTTATTCCAAATTTGGGTGTCGATTTGGGTATACCTTGAGATACATGCAAGTGAGACATCGGAGGTGTCCCGAGTATACTACATACCCACTGGCCCGGCCACCAATTGAATATTTAACCCCTTGTGCCGTGACTCGTACTACTTAGGAATCGCTCCATGAATTTGAATACAATCTTTTAGAAATAGGATTAGGTTAGAAGGCAGAATTGAGGAGCACTCTGCTAAGAAAAAGTCTGGAATCAGCAGGGGGATAGAGGTGGTCTTGACCATATATGTAAGAGAACGGTTCGTAAGCGTGGGGGAGCAAATGAATCCCGGAAGTTGGTATTATTTCAGGAGTTGAAATTCATTGTTTCTTATACATCGCTTCTTAGGAATATAATATGGCTTTCAATGCCATCTTGCTACCTAGTACTTTCCATTACTCCTGACTTCAAACTTGAAAATTGCAATGCGCAATAAGGAAAAACACATTTATAGCAAAGGAAAACAATACAAGAAAGAGACTGGGATTATTTGTACAGGGAAATCATGTTAGGTCAAGGTATACTTCCTGATTCAGTAGTGCCGGATGCACGGCAAGCAATCGCAGACATGATTCAGTGTGCCAATCAAGTGAAGTCTTGTATGCACTAGTAGGGACCACATAGTACATTTCTCCGCAATGGAAAACCTCAAACGTTAAGTTTGCGGGGTAGGTTGCGTGGCATGGGGTACAGACGCCTGGTTATATAAGTACCAAATTTGTATGCGCTATGCAATTGGAGGAAACTAAACCAGGACCAAGCCCGCCGCGTTCTAGTATGCTTTGAACTCAATGGTACAGCCCACATCAGTCTCGGCCGTTGGGATTTTGTTGCTGTGAGAAGTGAGCGTTAAGCGGATAATTGGCATAGATTGAACCCCAAGGCAGAAGAATTCAGCATTTACTTGTCCACAACCGATGCTAAATGAAGCAGTCTGTAATATTGACAACCAAGATTTCTTGATACGTAGATTTAAAGAGAAATATGTTTCTTTAAACAACAATTATATCTCAACATTGAATCCCAAGTCTACAGCACCGGAAGCTATGTAATTTGGTGGTGTGTGGAATCACAAGGACGCAAGGCTAAAAGGCTAAAAGAAGTGGCCAGCAGCATTTCCGAAGAATAATTATTGGACAGAGAAATGCCTAGACTGCATTGGAATGCGTAGGCAGCAAATCAAAAGGGAATACTTGAGCTGTGGCATAGCAGATCCCGGTTCCCCACAGTGGAGAAATGCGCGGATCCCCTGATAGAGGATGATCTCCGCACTGGCCGACGTGTTACATGTAGCTAGTCAAATGTCTTTTTAATTTGACTCGGACCAAAATAGAACAAAGCCATGGTAGAACTATACCCTCATTTATCTAATTTCCAAGGTAGGTCTTCAAGCCTCGTTACATATTTACTTATCCACTTCCTTTTTTTTTTGAGTCAGTATAAAATAGTTTAACCCTTTGAAACACGCCTCTCTCTTTACAGACTGCATATGCATGTACCCGAATACATCAGCAATCATGACGTAATGCTGCAGCTTTGGCACATCAATGGTCTTGGAAGCTCTTACCACGGTCAGTAAACGTGGGTCTGTAGGCTGGCTACATACAATCTCGGCTTGTAGATACTGGGGTACTCTACTATATTTATTTTATTTTTATCGCAGACTCAAGGAATTCCTCGAGTGGGCACCTGGCCAAGTTAGTCTCTCAGTGGAGGATTTGGGGTACTTCATGCACTACATTTTCGAGGTTTCCTCCACCAATCCAACTGGAAAACTAGAATTCGAAGCGGGTTTTACTATATTCAAATTATCCACAACCAGCAGGTATTAGCTTATTGAGACTGGATCGCTGCCGTAGGCCGTCACATACGAGGAGAAGGCGCTATCCCCTTAGTTCTACGTAGCAAAACCACCTAAAAGCAAGAGCAAAATGCTTTATGTTGGATCTTTACTTACTATATGGCTATTTTCGTTCACAGAGGTGCTTACAGATAAATATGCAAGAAAACTTTGTGTGGGACTTTACAAGAGAAAAAAAGAATTTAATTGTAGTATGAATTTTGCTAATACTCGGTACTTCAATTGAGATATATAGGAAAATAAAACGAGACCTAAGAAAAGCAAGTTAGATGTAAAAGGCCAGTGTCATGGATCAAAGACGCTCACTGAGCATACTCACGCAATATCAAACCGCATGTTCAAGTTGTAAAACTCGTTAGTATGGAAAGTAACAATTCGTACAATACATCTTCTACCCTGGCCAAACGCACACAGAATGAAAGATGCGACCATCTTACCGATCCCGGTACCCAGCAACGCATCGAACTCTGCCGTTCCAAGGTGCCAAATTAGTGGGTCTCTAGACGGGTATTCATAGGGTACGACGGATCGATATACCTCGTATCTGACACAAGGTACAGTGTCCTCGTTGATAATCCCGTTGACAAATACATACTTAAGGGAACTCAACGAAAAGTCCATCTCATAAGCGACCTTGGTGAGATCGGACATATGTGGAAGGCGGGCATTGTTGTGCGATCTGTATACATTGTCAATAAAGATCACACCTGGTCCAGTGCGTCCACACCAGTTTACTGGCGAGCCGTGGCGGCTCATGATTTCGATATCTCGATACTGGGATCCAGAGTCACGTACATCCGGATGTTCAAGCGTTAGCCCTAGGGGTGCCAGCAGTGGGTTCCACGAGGCAGATAGTTTTGTGGGGTTGTGAGTAACTCTGAACTCCGGGTGCCTTCTTCGATGATCCAAGTTGAGGGTACTTCTTGCAACTGGACATCCGGGCTCACGAGGGCTCTCCATCCACTTTCGGAACATCCGTCCCTTGGGCTGTCTTCCATACTTGTAGTCAGGCATGTTTTGTGAAGATTTCTGAGTTGGTCAAAGTATTGGTAGAAACGATTTTGGGGTGTGTGAATTATTGCAAAATGATGTGTGTGATCGGTTGGTGCAGAATTCAATCGTCAGATACCGATGACCCTTTATATACTTCCAGCAGGGTAGACTGGAGAAACAAAGAGACTTCGATCGATCAATGCCATTATTTTGAACAATAGCCCGACAAAGGAACCAAAGCATTTCTTAGAAAACAATGGAGCCTATGAAGAATATGGAACAAAGGTAACAAATGACTAGTAAAAAACGGTATTAAAATACTATCTAGCAGACTTGAAGCTCCAACACGACATTGTTCAACCGTCATATTGGCTAAGGCCTCCTTACTTCAATTTGGGTCCGTTTACCTAGTAGATCTTGTTGCAAGATTGCTACTTGATTTTCTAGTCGATATATCTCAGTGGGATATTCCCTCTGTCTCTCTGGTTGATTTGCGTGTTTCGCGGTGCTCTCCTTCTGCTGCACCTGCACTGGAAATCCACGTACGGCCTCATGAAAATATGCATACTTTTAATAGCACAAGGATTGTGCTCTGCCCGTGATTGAACCACCTAGCTTGCCGGCCCAATGCATACCGATCGATCTGGGCTTTTCACACTGAAGTGAAGACCACTCATTTCAAAGTCTCCGCACCATATATACTATTTACTCATTGCATAAATTACGTCACTTTGTTCTATAGCATACTGTAACGCGCCTAGCGTGGATAGCCTTCTTCGAGGTCCACTTTTCCACAGAGAATCTGCTAGATTATCCCATAGTTATCGCCCCATCAACGCAGATGGAGAACTGATTTCGTTAGTTCATGGCTGGCCAGAACATGATTAGGTTTTGATAGACTGATATCCACTGTAAGATCATGAGCGCATCTAGTGTCCATATACATTCTGCCTCCATTCTTGTTAGTCTCCTTGTAGATGGTAGACACAAATTAAATAGTGTACTGATGATGCGACAGTATGGAGCTCCTATAGGGAAGTTGATATGGGAATCGCAGAGGAGAAATGGCTTAACATAACTACGAGAGGTAGACTCATCGCGAGTTGGTGGGCGGCTCGTCTGGGACAAGCATATAATTGGTTAGAAATACATCAACTAATTTTAATTCCTGAACTTTGGAGTAAGATATAAGAGCAATGAGGAAACTGAGGGGTAAATGTTGGGTTTACAGTGGTCCCGCGTAACGCATCACTGTATAGTGAAAGTCTGCATAGAATATGACTACATAACCCAAGACAAGCACATTTATTCTTGCGTGAATTACTTCATGATAGTGCTATTGCCATACGGGGATTAAATGCGTTCGAAGCCTATCGAGCGTGCCGAAAATAACCTTAGGATTCCTGGGCACGCTGAATAAGTCTTCAATCCATAGGTGTTGTTTGGTTACAGATAAGGATTAAGTTCTTGTAGATCTGCTTTTTGCTTGTTTTTGCTTGTAAAAACTAACTTGGCTCATATCCTCTCTTTTGCTATCACGTTTTTAGGATGAGCAATCAGTTGCAAAGCAGTTGAGAACTCCCGAAGTTAAACTGATCTTGGAAGCGGAGGTGGTCGGGCACGCGAGCCCGCTTAAATTGTCCGATCGTGGTCTGGCTTGGGCGCCGAGCCGCAATCAGCTTAGGGGCGGCGAATGCCCATCCACTCATTTGCTTCTTCCGACCACGTGCTTTGGTTTGACCTTTTGATGTCTTGCACAGGGCGAGGGCTCTGGGGCTGTGACATGCCTGTAAGATGTGTCATCCTACGCATCTACAGGCTATGAATGTTATTTCGAGTATGCGATCGCGCTTTGAGAGCCTTCCTGTCTATGTCACATTCTAACTACTGACTTCTCCTAATAATGCGGCCATCCAGATCAAATATATCGCATTTTATGTCCTTCGTGCCAGATGCTGATGTAACGAAAGCAGTGTTATTTGTCGAAGTATGTATCGGTAACTCTTATATTGAATTACAGTTCACTAATCCTGTGGAGTACGCGAGTAGTATCAATGAAGCTGTCGATCAGTACTACGAGAACCCCGACAGATACTCACAGCGGCCACATCGGCCACTATCATCTATGAACAATTCCATGACAGGCTCCACGACCGCCTGGGTCCAGCCTGCCGACTTGAACCGCACCACTTCTCCCATATCCCCCACCGAGCCTCCTTCATATGCTTTAGCCACAAGAAGCATCTCTGCGTCGACCGGAAGCCAAACAAGCCCAAGACCATCGTTTGTGACTACAAGTAGCAGTGTCTCCCGTCGTCACCATGAAAACGCCTTGATCAGGGCCGCCAAGGTCCGCGCCCAAGATGAGTCCGAAATGCAAAACATGCTCCACAGTGTTCAGCTGTCATGTCGGATTTACAACCCCGAGATCGAACCTGAACACGAAACACACCTGCTCTGTGAATGTCCTGTTCACATGTACTGGAAAAGGAGGCTTAATCGCCTTGACGTGCTTGAGATGTGGTCCAAGGCCGTGGTCTATCCAGGCGAAAAGCCATATCATGATTTCGCACACTTGCGTCTTTCCAACACCAACCCATATTCTAACATCATGACATCTTATTCACTCGCAGGTGCTTCAATATACGGAATCGCGAAGCCCAATCCAGAATTACATGCCAAGTTTGTTCAACAAACCATCGCTCTGGATTCGGCTCTCAACAAGAAGGCGCAGGCAGCTGTTCAACTTATGGAGCCGTCTTTCAATATTTGGGAGCTTGAGCAGCTAGAGTCCCTCGTATCCAACATGTCTCTCACCCGCCGCACATCCGCTAACGGCGAGCTGAACAGCGAAAAATCGTCTAAGCGTTCAAGCTTCAGGAAGGCTCTCTCTGTCAGGAGCTCAGATGAGCGAACTGCGTCCAAAATGAAGAAGAAACTTGCTGGTTCTTTCGAGTTACGCAGCGAGATCCTCAAGGAAGAACAGGGCCGGTGGCAAGATGGGATTGATAGGCAAATTGTCTCGACTTACCAGGAACGAATTGGAATAGCTCGGGCGGTTTCTGAGATTCGAATGCAGAAGCCGATTCAATACCTGAATCATTTACGAGCGGGATACTTTGAGCCGATTCCGGTTGCTTGGCAATCTCAAGCATCGAATCCTCTGAGATTTACCATTGACGCGTCCGCGGGATGGAGGGGCGTCACGCCTGCGTGGAGAGGCTATAAGGACACCGCCGAAGAGCGACTATACTGGGTTCTAAATCACAAACCTGGATGTCAGACCACAACAAAACAAAATTTGATTTCAGGGCTTGAACTGGCACGGGAGCGAATGGCTTCGGCGGTGGAATCTCACCCAAGGTATCACTCCCCCGATGATATTTGTCGCAATCAATATCCCAGGGAAGGATATTCAAAACAGATCAACCCAGATTCCGAAACTACTTATGATATCAGATCCCCGACAGATGAGACGACGATCTTGTTAGATGTTCGTGGTTCCTTGGATTTCAATCCCTTCCGACCTAATTACAACCAATATCTCATCACGAACTTTTTGAAGACGGACCAACCAAAGAACAAAGGTGAATGAAATATTCTCCTTTTATTTTGAGTTTGTATTGACTATCGGAAATTAGACCTCGCAAAAGCCATCCTACGCCGCTTCATCCAAGCACTGGGGAAGCACGATAGCAACGGACAGGGTTATCCATTCGTAACATTCAGCAGCCATGCAAACTACATCAACCTAGTTAATGGGTGGAACATAGATGATGTTTGGAGAAATGTCAGACTCACAGGACGCAGCCGCATCATGGTAGGCTGGCAAAAAGTCAAGGAGATGCATTTCCAGAAGCATTCTGAAACAGCAATATTCCACCCAATATACGGGTGGCAAGCCGGTCCCCAAACGCCCAAGTTGCGTCTGATTCTGATACTTGGCGGTGAGGTCAATGACATGGACGAGTTCGAGCTGAGCCTCTTCGATGTATCTTGGGCCTCTATCACCATTCTTCTGATAGGGGCTGACGGCTGTCTCCATCATCACCGGCATGCAAGCAGATTAAGGCGGATGGCCGATTCGAATCCACATATATCTTTCATTGAAGCTCAAGGACTTGTCCCAGAACGATTTGTCACGCATGAGCTTCTTAAGCACCATCTCGGCCAAGACCTTTCCATGTCCGAGTTCGAGAATCTCGAACAACAAACGGCTGAACTTCCGTCGCCATCAGAGCCTCGAGCACGGAGAACTCAATCAGGTCAAAGTCAACTGGACCAATTACTCATTGAGCTACCCTCGGTGGAGGAAACCCGGATTTGGCAAAGAGATCATCAACTTCCAACGCCCGGAATGTATGAGCTACCAGGCGACCAAAGACCTACAGAATTACCAGCGAACGACAGATCGGCAGCGGTGCAGCTCCCTCCTAGGCTAACCCGGCCACCTCCCTCATTACCGCAGCTAGATCATCCATTGGATCCCCCACCTCCATATTTGGAAACTGGATCAAGTTAATGAGTCAGAGCGAAATTGTTGTTGATATACCCGATAGTTGTTATTATTATCTGTGAATAACATACTGAAAACTTCAAAAGAATGCCTCCTATACTTTGCTTGTATTTGCGCCTCTAAAACAATCATCCGCAAACAGTTCGAAGCACAGCTTCCTAGGTGGATGCTTCGATTCAGTCGGTGGCATTCTCGCCCGACGACCGGAACCTGGAGTCTAACGTACCCCACTTTTTTATGTCCCATGGCTACCCTAATCAAAGGATAGATATCCCTTCCATACTAGCTCTAGTACATACGACCACAGGGTGTGGAGAACAGGGCTTCCCGTCCGCTCAGCCGTACTTAAGCCACACGCCGGTAAGTTAGTAGTTAGGTGGGTGACCACTAGCGAATCCTTACTGTTGTATGTTTTTGTTTTTTTGGCAGTTTCTCGCTAGATTCATATGGATTTTTTTGGTCTTATATCCACAGCGGAATGATGGGCATTAGGAAGAAACTTCTATTTGGAGCAAAATATTACTAGTTATTCTATGAAGAATTTAGAGTGGGCCTATTTTCCGCATACAGTTAGGCCATAGGTTTTCACACCAATGCCTTTATATGATCTACATGATTAACCCGAAGCACTCGAAAATGGGCAAAAGAGGTGAAAAATGAGAGGCCAAAGTAGGGCGAAAACAATACATGAAACCGCACTCGTCTGGAGACTTTCGGGTCGAGACTATCCAATACTTCATTAGTGGCATTTAGTGGCATTTAGTGGCATTGCATACAGATTTATGACCCCTGTTGTATTACCGAGAGTTTGAAGTACAAAGGAACATTATCAATCAAAAAATCGTAGACCCTATTAGATGTGCGGTACAGTCCATTCTGTGTTTCTATCGATGGCATAGTGGCTCATCATGGCATCCCTCTTTCTTAAATAGTAAACTCTCAAAAATATTGATATTAGCCCGAAGTCTAGTCTATATTTTTACAAAGTGGCTCCCCTCACACCCCCCTCTAGGCTTTCTATACCTAGATGGAGAGCTAGGATCCGTCGAATTTCATCCCAAATGTCCTTCCGTGCACTGATGACAGCATCTTGGCGCTCTGTTGCAAGATTGTACAGGTATCTTTGTGCCACATTATCTGAGATGAAGTGTAAATACCCGAATCGAGTATTGTGTTCCTGGCAGGCTTGTGCGAGGTAACCGACCTCACAGTCGACCCAGTCTGCATCGTGCTTGTTCATGGCCAACCAAAGCTCAGTCTCAACCAAGGGGCTCGGGACTGTAATATGTGTCCCCTGGCAAAGGTGTGCGATATGCTGTGTTGATAGTGTTGTCGTGAGTGGGCTTTTCCAAGAGAGAATTTTGTTGTTTAGGTGACTTGTTTCACCAGTAACGAGGACCTGATTCGGGATATCTTGTGTCCGTAATGAACCAGCCTTGCCCATATATATAACGCTCGATATGTTGTTCTGGACTTGCATTGTGCGAACAGCATTTCCGATGATATCACCCCAGAGGCTCATCATGCTTCCCACAAAAGCGACAGTACTCCCGTCCGCTCGAAGGGAGCGCTTCCACGCAAATAATTGGTTCGGCTCATCTGTCCCTGTCTCCCAGGGATAATTATCATTGGTGGCCAGGTGATTCACATACCCCAGGATGACAGTATCAACAGGGCCCATGAACCTCAGATTTGATTGCGAGAGGAGATCCAAACAATCTTCCGAAGAGGGTAGGCGGTATTCTATCACTGATGCAGGCGCTTTGATCGAATTTAGGTTGAGGTAATATGCGATGAGGAGAGCGTAATGCAGCACGTAATCACGCCCCGGAAAACACCTGATTTCCAGGGTCGAGTCGTCGATGATAACTGCTGTTGGTCGATGCCAGTTGAAACGTTTTTCTCGTTTCTCATTGGGTGAAATATGTACATTGGGACCGTTTCGGGAATAATGGCCACAAACCACAATGCGGGGCCAGACACGGTTCTTGATCAACGGATGAATCTTGCCATAAATGTATGCCTGGAGAGTTTCATGCATCAAATGTTTCTCGGCCTGAAGAGAGTCATGGTCGACTCTTACCACGGCCATGCTTTGGTTCCTGAGAATCCAACGGATGAGTCGGACTAAAACAAGTGTTGTCGATCGGATTAAATTTATCCCGTTCATGGTTGTTTGTTCAACGAAAGGATGCTGGCGGGTTTATACCATTGCCTTAGTTGGGCCCTTTGTTGACTTTCGCGTTTCAATATCCTTTGTTAGGAAATAATATTGCTCTTTGACTCTATTTTTATCCGTCTACCTCTTCTTAGGTACTGTTGGGCTTTCTTTCCCTAATGTCAGCACACACTGACAATCTAAGATTGAACCTTCCAGAGTTACCACTGATTAGCTTGCGCTCAGAGGTCTTATAGCCAGGTGATGCATATGTTAAGGCAACCTCTAAAGATGAGGGCCAAGTAAGAATTTGGTGAGGATCAGGCAGAGCATAGCCTCCGAATCACGCCGCACTGACCCTTCCCCGAGTTTCTACTGCCATGCTAGACATATATGTTGAGAACCTGTTCAAATATTTTCGAGAATTACTACAACTAGTACGTACAATTTCCCACGGCATCTGATGCATTATCCAAAAATCCAAAATTGTGCAATCCTCAAGGCGTCGAGCGCAAAGTAGCACGCCGGGAGAACCCGAAATTCCTACGAAACCCTCTTGACCGTTCCGAGAATCTTGGATTTTTAAGATCGTTGTTCTCAGGATCTGGTGCTTTGCTTTGACAGAACATGTCACGCATGAAAGCTTGCATGTCCTGAATCCATGCAAGTAAGTTGAACTCTAACATGAAGATGAAGAAGCCCAATATCGTGATGGGGATTGTGCAAACGAAGAAGATCCAGATCTTTGGATGTGTCTCCCACTGCAGAATTTGAGTTTTGTCGTTGTTCTGCAGTGTGAAGAAATTCATTCCAAAAAATCCCTGCAAATATGGTCAGCGGTTCTAAAGGGCAAACGAAGTTCGAATGAGAAGGGCTTACTGAGATGAAAGTTCCCGGGAGGAATAGGAGCGTTAAGGCAGACACGGTATCTGACAATACTTTTCCTTCATTCCGGGTTTGCTTGAGGATACCTTTCGAGATGTTACTGTCGGCGACTGCGACAAAATTGGAGGCCTAATCGAACATGGTCAGCTGGCTATTTTCAGAGAACAAATGTGCCCGTTGGTTTCTTTCGCCGTGGGCACTCACACATTTAATCTCATTATCCATGCGGCCCACAAACGCCTTAGCCCGGAAGTTCAAATTGGAGATCATGTTTTCATGAAGTAGCAGCATTTTTGAGAGTCGTCTCGTTACCGCAGAAGAACGAATGTTTGACTGAAGCCACAGGTCATGGTCTCGTACTATGGCACCAAGGTTGTTAGAGGCCGCATTCATCGTTTCGGAAATATGGATCACATGTCGCGATAATTCGTGAAGCCGACTGTATCGCTCAACAAGGAATTCAAATGTTTTGTCGTTGTCAGATGAGCCTGTTTCCTGAAACAGCTCCTGGCCGCGACCCTAGAATGGGTCAGATATAAACGGTGTGGATAACACTGGAAAGGGGCAATACCTTCTCTATATCTCGCACTGGCTTTTGGAAGCTCCAGAGATCTTTCTCACACTGGTCTATCACAACACTGAGCGCATACTCGAGCATGAGGAAAGGTTCATTCTTCCAATTTCTGAGATCGGCTTTATGCAACAGACGCCTTAATCGGAGGGTAATATTGTCATCGAGATCGAAGCAAAGAAGCACATTGGTCTCGTCAGTAGATTCATCCGTCCTATATTGACCACTATCTTCAGTATGATTGACAAGTGATGACCGCCACAAGGTACAGAATGCCATATAGTGCCAGTCATATGCGTATTCCGGGGCAAGGGTTGAGATGAGATTTGTGTTATGTGGACCTCTTGGTGTTAGTACCCTTTTAGGGTCTATTTCCCTGACTTGTTTGGAAAGAAAGCGCGAAAATGTCCCTTCATGAGAATTAGGATTAGCGGCCACTGTAAGTTCGACTTGATCTCTTACCATAGCTGGTTTCTGAATCATTTTGTGACAGATTCTCAGTACTGCCGAACATGCCATTTGCGTTCCATCCCAGTCTTTCAAAGAAGAATTCAGGGAGGAAGAACTTTTCTGAGAGTTGCCTGCACAATTCTGCACTCCCTGCCATTTCCAAAATCCCTTCTTCCACTTTTGGCATGAAGCTGACATATATTAGCAAGTTGGGATTTGTCTGAAAGGTGTTTCTCACATAACATGAATACCTGGCTTCCTAAAGAACTATATTGAACCTATCAGCAAATTATGACGATCGATTGGCTTTGTCTCATCGACTAACATCTTCTTGCAAAATTTCAGTCCTGCTTAAATCCCGAGGCTCTGGTAGACTGTTGTCTTCCGGTAGCGATGGTTGGGGCGGGCTAACAGGGGGTAGTGCACTGCCCGTCCATCGCCAGTAATTGATGTTTCCTGAGCGATTTGCCGTCATTGTCCAAGAACTGCATAGGTTATTGTTCTTGAAATTCGGCCAAGGAAGTCAGGGGAAATAAATGAACACACCCCTAAGTCAGCCTCAAACATCGCGTTCGAGGGCGGCACACCGGCAGATGGCCTTTTCCCTAATTGGCAAGACAAATGTTGAGCAAACGGGTATTGCATGAAGCCGCCTGCCATCTGGTTGGCTGATGGATGGGCTTTCTGGTGCTATATTGCTTTTTCCGATCCACCGCCCAGCAGCTGAGAGGGTCAGTTCGCGGTCGCGCGGGTGGTTCTCAGCCAGATTCTCACCCAGTCTAAATCTCACCCCATTCTCGCCCGGGCAACACTCGCCCCACCACACCCCGGAGATTATAGTTAGTTACAGTAACATTCTGAATCAGATTTAATTCTCACAGAACTTCAAGTCCCGAACCCTAGCTCGAAACACGCTAGTATAATTTGAGCCCTTCCCCGGTACGCCCCGTAAGTCCGAGCAGTTTTCACTGGTACCGTTTAACGGTCATCGTTAGTGTCGTAATAAATGGTAGGATATAAAGGAATCTTTTATGCGAACAGCCCAAAAGTGCCCCTTACAATCTGGCAAGATCCCTTTTCCATTTCCCACATAGAGGATCTCTTCTGCCGTCTCTTGGCCTTCCCCTTCCGTTCAAGTGCTCAGTCCTCGCTGCCTTTTGCCTTTGCTCACTGATGACAATCTAAACGTAGAGATGACCGCCCGGGAGAGCGCCCTCAATCATATGCAGCACACTGCATAATGCGCGAACAGTCACCTCAGGAACCACTTGTCGCGACCTGTATACGTGGAACCACCCAAGTATGGCCCCAAAGATGATTGGTGCTTGCAGGGTTCATGAACATCGAACCAATGCACCATACGCGCGCGCTATAGTTAATAGTTACTCAATATATCCCGTCGAGGATTATGACTTCGATTAGCGCTGAGTGAGATGTGCCAGGCGGGTAAGCCGTAGCCACTCCCTGGGCTTTAAATCACCTATCACTTCCAAGGTTCCAGACAGAGAACTCTTGTTTATCTATGAGTTGATCACTTATATAGTGAGACTCGACACTATATCTCTTTCTCATATACCATCTCGTCTTGCCTGTTGTATCACGCTCATCATTTGATATCTAAAGGTACAAACTCCGAAAGAAATTCCACTACAGCCTTTACCATATCTGCTAAGACCCTACACCGACGCATTCCCTTTTTTTTCCCTCTTCATGTCCTGGAAGAGAACTCACTGACCTACCTATACAATAGTACTTTCTACAGCCATGACGGACGTACAACGAATTGGATTTACAAAGCTCTCGGGTGAGAACGGCACTGAGAACAGGGAGTATCGGGTAAAGTTCGTGACAAGAAGTCCAACCGAGGAACCAAGCTGACCAAGTGCAGTATCATCTTGGTGCATGGCTTGAGAGGACACCCGAGGGAGACATGGGAAGCCGCCGCAGAGTCAGACGAACAAAAGACTCGCAGGTTTTGGTCCAAGTCTAAGCCGCCCAACTCGAACACTGCCGAAGTTCCCAACAAAGTAATACCTGCCAAGGGATTCTGGCCACGGGACTTCCTGGCGAGAGATATTCCTGATGCGAGAGTATGGACGTACGGCTATAACGCGGACGTAATAGAGGGCATATTCGAATCCAACAACCAGAACAGTATTTCGCAGCACGGTCAAGATCTTGCAGTGTGTTTCGAGCGAGAGATTGACAACAAGGTATACCTGGACCTGGCCACTTGGATGGGATGATTAAACTCACGATACTAGGACCCTGTCTTGTTTGTAGCGCACAGCCTTGGCGGTATCATTACTAAAGATGTCCGTTGGTGGTACCTTTAAGCACTTGAAGTTGATATATAAGGGCTTACGTGGTCAACAGGCGATAAGAAGATCGGAGGCGTGCCGCGAGCGAACGAAATTGATTGTCTTCCTGGGTACACCCCATCGCGGGAGTAGTTATGCACCATGGGGTGCGATTGCAGCGAATATGGCCATTGTTACGCTACACGATCCCAACAAAAAGATCGTTAAGTCACTCGAACCTAACAGCGAAGTGCTGGACAACATCCATGAGGACTTCAAGAACATTATAACTACGTCTATGATTAAAATACACTCGTTCCAAGAGGCGCGAGGAATGACGGGCTTCAAGGGAGTACACAATAAGGTACAGCCATACTTTGACGTGCTTTCTAAAGCCCATTAACTAAGAATGCTGGCAGGTGGTAGACGGCTTTTCCGCCAAGCTCGATCTACCAAGATCAATAGAAACCGTCGAGAGTATTGACGCAAATCATGTGCAAATGGCTCGGTGTAGCGATAGGGCAGATTCACGGTACAAGAAGATATTTGGTGACCTTAAGCATTTCATTCACAGTGGTATTCTTGACAGCCATGGAACTGGACCTCATAACTCGCTTTGCACAGAGCAGCCTGTTCAGTCATGGAGAAAAGCGATGGGTGAGTTGAGCGGAGAACCAAGCAGTCAGTCTAGAATGATGGATACATTTAGGATGTGACCATGTTAACCCTATCAGAGGCCATACCCCAAACGCTCGAGCCAGTTCCACTCTAAGCTCCTTGGTGCAAACACCAGCTGAAGAAACTTCTGAAGGCGTGAGCAACGAGCACGGAAAGGATGCTGCTAGCAACGTGGTTGACTACGTTGAAAGCGAGGCCTCCATGATTTTTGACGTCATAATACAAGGAGATTTCCAGGCCGTCAAGCGGTTTTTAAGGCACTTGGGTAAAGATAATGTCAATGCCACATGGCAGCCTCAAACGCGAAAAGTCCTGCCGCTTCATTTTGCTGCAATGCTAGGAAAGACCGAGATCGTTCGATTGCTCCTTCAAAACGGTTCCAATCCCATGATACGTGCAGGTACTGGAGATACTGCTTTGCATTTTGCCGTTAGGCAAGACCATATCGACACGGTGTATGAGATACTTGGACGGGATGAGTATGGCCAACTTCTATATCCGCCCGAAGACAGCATCAACAGGATAATGCCCGAAGGAGCAACCGCATTAACATTCGCTGTCTACAAAGAGTCTGCGAAGATGGTGCAAATACTACTTGACGCTGGTGCGGACCCGGATGCGTGCGGTCCATCTGGTGTAACGCCATTGCTCACCGCAGCATCCAGAAGCCTTGATGATATCCTTGTTATTCTGTTAGATGCTGGTGCAAATCCCAACAGTGCTACAGTTGAGGGTATCACACCGATTCATGCGGTAAACACTTCTCGCTCAGCTCAGAACCTTATAGCTGCTGGGAGTGACCTGTCCGCCAAGATCTACCAAAAAAACAAATACAACTTCCCTGTTGGAGCAACACCACTCAGGGTCATTGTTGACACTGGCAAATCGGACATTGTCAAAGTACTGGCGAGAAGTTGCACTCGCGAACAATTTCATGTCAAGGCTTTTGATGGGAAATCTGCACTGGAAGCTACAATCAGGCCATACCGGCCGGAGCTGTCATCCATTCTCACCGACGCTTTAGAGGATCTGTCAACGTATGGCTAAGTGGATACACTGCCGGACTTGGATCAAAGCCAGTTCAGTTATTGTACGCCGTCTAAATTTACATAGTTACTAGGGTAACTTGAAAATTTGAGCTCTCTTCTGTGGCCTTTACTGGAAGAACACTGCACTTACATGGTCGTCCAGAGTATACTCTGAGTGCTGTCGCATTACAATCTTATTACCTCTAGGAATTCCTCGACGTCGAAAGCGCTCTTCTGGGCTTCCGAGCTCAACAGATCTCACTCCCTAGCATGCTGCAGGGCCGTCTTCTTACAACCTTTAGTAGCAAGGGCTCTTCGGATGCCAAAGGTTGTGAGCATAGTATAGAACTCATCCTACAGAAGACAGCCATCTCATCGAGGTACAGACTGGGCTTTTCAGAGAAGTGATTACGAAGCGCCTCAATTATCAGTGGTGTGATGGTTCGTCTCCGGCCTATTCGAGTTGGGGGTGCGTGGCATCGTCCAGACAACCGCAAGATCCTGCGAGTATTTATGATCGTAACTTTGCTGCATTCAGCTTCTTTAGACTTTTGAGTAATGGTTAGTGACCTGCTCTCTATCATATCACGGATTAGATAAATCTTTAAGAGGAGAAGTCTCGGGGCCATATTGCAAGCCTAACGTTGGGTGATTAAGTCTGTTGCTGGAGGATCAACCGGCATATCTTAATTGTAATAGCGTGGTTCAAACTAGGGTTCGGGACTTAAAGTCTTAAGAGTGTGGGGTTTAAATCTGATGTCGAATATTACTGTAAGTGAAGATTAAAGAACACTTCTGAGCGAGCCCTTTGGCTGTACGATGCAGTACCCCATTCTATATATTCTCTTTTAATACTTAAACAAGTACATACGACCACAGGGTGTGGAGAACAGGGCTTCCCGTCCGCTCAGCCGTACTTAAGCCACACGCCGGTAAGTTAGTAGTTAGGTGGGTGACCACTAGCGAATCCTTACTGTTGT